GCCTAGCTTGTTGGGGCTAAGAGAGGAGAAGGGCAATAAGAAGAAGGATGGTATTCACCGAAGGGCCCGGCCAGGAAGGCCCCCGCGAAGGGCAGCCAGAGCAGCAGGAGGGCGGCCTTCTTCATCCTCCTCCTCCTCCTCCGGGAAGCGCATCTCCCCTTCTGCACCGGCAGGGGGACGGAGGGGCGGGGCCACGCGGGGAGGGGGCGCGGCCAAGGGGACAGGCCCGGCCAATAGCGGCGCCGCTCGCTGGGCCAGGCTCCGCCCGTCCCGCCCACCTGGCCTGGCAGAAAGGACGCAGGTACGCAGGCGGAGGGAAAGGCATGGGCGAGGCCCACTGCGCCTGCGCAGGCACCTCTTCGCCTTAAAGGCGTATCCCCTTTTAATTCATAGGTCCTGCTCAACTCATAAAGGAAGGCATCATTCGATCCCTCCCGACAGATGGCCATTCCAATAAGGAAATTCCACTCTCTTCCAAAGCAGTCTTTATTCCTTTCCCGTTGGAAGGAGTATGACAGGTAATATTACTAATAATATTGCAGTCATAGTTATATATACCACTATGACTGCAAAATATAATATAATATAATATATATAATATATTATATATCATATAATAGTGGTATATATAATAATATATATATATATATATATAGGGTAAAGGTAGTCCCCTGACATTAAGTCCAGTCATGTCTGACTCTGGGGTGTGGTGCTCATCTCCATTTCTAAGCCGAAGAGCCAGCGTTGTCCGTAGACACCTCCAAGGTCATGTGGCTGGCATGACTGCATGGAGCGCTGTTACCTTCCCGCCGGAGCGGTACCTATTGATCTACTCACATTTGCATGTTTTCGAACTGCTAGGTTGGCAGAAGCTAGGGCTGACAGCGGAAGCTCATACCGCTCCCCGGAATCGAACCTGCGACCTTTGATCAACAAGCTCAGCAGCTCAGTGCTTTAACCCACTGCGCCACCGGGGGCTCCATGAATTGAATAATTACTGGTCTTTAAATTATAGCAAAAAGAAATAATAATAAATAGAGTAAAGTAATGTAAATGTAGGAGCCCCCGGTGGCGCAGTGGGTTAAAGCACTGAGCTGCTGAGCTTGTTGATCGAAAGGTCGCAGGTTCGATTCCGGGGAGCGGCGTGAGCTTTCGCTGTCAGCCCTAGCTTCTGCCAACCTAGCAGTTCGAAAACATGCAAATGTGAGTAGATCAATAGGTACCGCTCCGGCGGGAAGGTAACGGCGCTCCATGCAGTCATGCTGGCCACATGACCTTGGAGGTGTCTATGGACAACGCTGGCTCTTCGGCTTAGAAATGGAGATGAGCACCACACCCCAGAGTCAGACATGACTGGACTTAATGTCAGGGGACTATTTTTACCTTATATACATATAATATTTATAATATTATAATGTAATGTAATGTAATGCAATAGAATACTGCTGTGGAGCCCCCGGTGGCGCAGTGGGTTAAACTCCTGTGCCGGCAGGACTGAAGACCGACAGGTCGCAGGTTCAAATCCGGGGAGAGGCGGATGAGCTCCCTCTATCAGCTCCAGCTCCTCATGCGGGGACATGAGAGAAGCCTCCCACAAGGATGATAAAAACATCAAAATCATCCAGGCGTCCCCTGGGCAACGTCCTTGCAGACGGCCAATTCTCTCACACCAAAAGCGACTTGCAGCAAGTCGCTCCTAACACGACCAAACAAACAAAATAGAATACTACTACTAATATATTATTATTATTATTATATATTTTATATTACATGTAATATTACTAATAATATTACAATGTAATGGTATAGTACAATATAGTAGTATATAATACTGATATTGTACCATGCTAATAATATAATATATTGTATGCATATCTTGTAAGCCGCTCTGAGTCCCCTTTGGGGCGAGAAGGGCGGCATATAAATGTCGTAAATAAATAAATAATATTGCAGTCCTAATGTTATATATAATATATACCACTATAATAATACATCAGTAATATATAATACTGTAATATATAATACTGACATTGTAATATTTTATATGTACATATAATATTGATAATACAATATCATACTAGTAATATTAGAATATAATAATGTTGCAAAATAATAATATATTTAATATAATACTACTGATAATATATAATGATATACTGATAATATGATATATTATATATACATATAAAAGTGATAACACAGTATCACACTAATAATAATACAATATAATAATACTGTAAAATAATAATACATATATTTAATATAATACTACTGATAATATACAATGATATACTGTTTCAGTTTTTTACTATGAGCCACTTTGAGTCTCTGTATGGAGAGATAAAGCAAGATATAAATAAATAAATATATAAATAAGGGTGGCCCCCTCCCCCAAGGTCATCTAATCCAACCCCAACCAGCCGTGTGGGAATACACAATTAGAGCTCTCCTGAAAGATGGCTTTCTTTGGCCTTCCTCCAAAGAAGGCCAACTTTCAGGAGAGCTCTAATTGTGTCTTCCTGCATGACTGGGTGGGGTTGGACTAGAGGACCTTTGGTAGACCCCTTGGACCAGATGACCTTTGGGGAACCCCACTGTCTTCCCAAGGAGTCCACATCCCATGCATGTTGGAAGGCCCCCCAAAGACCATCGCGTCTACCCTCCTTCTTCCATACTGCATTCCACAACGGAAGCCCTCCTTACAGAAGTCCATCCAGCCTGTGTTGGAAGACCTCCAAAGTAAGCAGAAGAAAAAGAAAAGAAGTCCTTGTCAATGTTTGGGTGAAGAACACCTTCAAACAAGCCTTTGAACATGGAACAAGCCCATCTTGTACCTCCAGTTACTTCTTCGCCACGAAATATCTGATCAAGGCTCCCTTCCTACGTCTCCTTGTCAGCCTCCCCTGGAATATATTAGTCAAACCTCACCTGGAATAACGGTGTCTGATTATTATTATTATTATTATTATTATTATTATTATTTATGGACTGGATGCCCTCTCTCCAGAGGGATTGGATGGTGTCCTTCCTGGCAGAAGGGGCTGAGGCTGGATGGCCACTGGGGTCCCAACTCTAGGATTCTATGATATATATATATATATATATATATATATAGCCGTCCCCTGCCACATGTTGCTGTGGCCCAGTCTGTGTATATGTGTTTTCTGTGTGTATATATGTGTTTATGTGTGTGTATATGTGTATGCATGTGTGTTTGTGTATATATGTGTGTATGTGCTTTGGTGCATGCATTGTAATGTTTTTTGTTTTGTTTTTGGCTTTTTAAGTCTCTTCCGGTGTGTTTTTCAGTGTTTTTATGAGTGATGGTCACTCATTGGCCTGATAGGTGTATTGTATCTAAATTTAGTGTCAATTCATTCAGTGGTTTTTGAGTTATGTTAATCCCACAAACGAACATTACATTTTTATTTATATAGATAGCTCATATCTATGGACATTATCTGTGGCTGGATGGTCATCTGTCAGGAGGGCTTGGATGGTGTCCTTGGCAGGAGGGGGTGAGGCTGGATGGCCACTGGGGTTCCTCCCAAGTCTAGAATAGTATGAGATATTACATGCACACATATCAATGCCCATTATCTGTGGATGGATGGTCATCTGTCAGGAGGGCTTGGATGGTGTCCCTCCTGGCAGGAGGGGATGAGGCTGGATGGCCACTGGAGTCCCTTCCAACTCTAGGATTCTATGAAATATTACATGCACACATTATTGCCATTATCTGTGGCTGGATGGTCATCTGTCAGGAGGGCTTGAATGGTGTCCTTCCTGGCAGGAGGGGGTGTGCCACTGGAGTCCCTTCATCTCTAGTATTCTATTTATATATATATATGCATATATATAGTATTTATGGCCATTATCTTTGGCTGGATTGACATCTGTCAGGAAGGCTAGAATGGTGTCCTACCTGGTAGAAGTGGTCTGTACTAGATAGTCTTTTGCAGTCTCATTGGCTAGGTGGCCCTCTGTTGGTAGGGATTGGATGGTGTTTTGCTGCCTGGCCGATAGTGGCGGGTGGCGGACTGGATGGCCCTTGGGGTCCCCTTCCAACTCTAGGCTTCTACGGTTCCGTGGTTCTATGACGCCGTGGTTCTAGAGGCCCCTCTCGTCCAGCTGTGAGGATGGAAGCCGGGAGGGAGGTCCTCCTCCTCTTGGCCTCTCTGTGGGCCTTTTCTGACGCCATCTTCGAAATCCCTGTCTTTGGGGATGTGGACCTGACAAAGGTAACCCCACATCGCCTGGGGTTTTGCATGCAGAGAGTGGGGCCTACTCCAGAGGGACTGGGATTTTATTTGGGGGGACTTTGGAACTATTGCCATCGGGGGACCCCTGGCTTCGTATAGCAACCACCCATGGCATTACATTGAAAGTTTTTCCAAAGTGCGTGCATACTTCTTTCCAAACTTTATTGCTCAACCTAAGATATATATGTGTTTGTTTGCCTGTGTGTATATTATATACACACACTCACAGACACACCTTAAGTTGAAATACACATATGTGTGTGTGTATGGAATACACATATATATGTATATATATGCATATATACACATATTTTAAATCAGAATATATAAATAGATACACATACAGATTTGCACACACACACATACACACAGACACCTTAACTTGTAATATACATGCATGTGTGTGTGTGTATATACACACACACATGTATGTGTGTATATGCATGTGTATGTGTGTGTGTATATATATATATATACATACACAGACATGGAATAGATAGATAGATAGATAGATAGATAGATAGACACACACACATAGATAGATAGATAGGTAGGTAGGTAGATAGAAACACACACACTTAGATATATGTATACAGATATACATATACGTAGGCATCTTTAGTTGGAATATATGTATATGCATATATATACACGCATAAACACACACCTTAGAGAATATATATATATATATATATATATACACACACACATAGATAAAATTGACACATATAGATAGATAGATAGATAGATAGATAGATAGATAGATACACACACACACACAACATATATACGCACACATATACCTTAAATTGGAATATATATACACACGCACACACACACATATATATATATACACATACATAGATAGATTAGATTAGATAGATATATACACATACAGACACCTTGTTGAAACAAACATATATGTATATGTAT